ATATTAAAAATAATATCTTATTTTTATTTTTTTTAATAAAAATTCATTATAAAATAATACATTTAATATATTTTAACTTGTACTAAAAGTCAAGCAAATCCCTTTTTATCTTATTTTAATTGCACAATTAAAAACAATTATATCATATCTCTTATTTCACCCCAATCGTATATTTTACTATTCAAATTTAAGGTCTACTATTTAAAAAAAATAACTATTAAATTTCCTAAACCGTTGACAAGTAAATCCTTTTTTAAAATGGTTATACAAGTAAAAGTTCAACATTTTAGACTATCATTAACTCAGAAAAAGCAGACTAGCCAAAACCTAAAAAAGTGAAAACAGAAATTGAAGAATGACAAAATATCACCCCCATACGCAAACGTGGAAAACGAGAACGCGGCCAACAAACGCCCTAGGAACCAGACAGGGACTGAAGACCCCAACCCATCATCTCTTCCACTTACTCGTTTAGAATTAGCCAAATGTTGGAATCCGTCTCGCTCTCTCATAAGTCATAACCACGCTCACAAAATTAAAGTAAAAACTAAAATTGAAATTGAAATTGAAATTGTAATACAAACAATATAAGTCTTTGTTCGCTGTTTGCACCCTTATATAACATTTACTCTCTTTCTTTGGTCCTACGGTAATCTAAGCAACTCCTCTCTCCACCGCTTATCGGACCAATTCCTTATCCGAACGTTGTCTTCTTCTCTCTGCTGGTCTGCATTTCCCATATCTTTATCTCTTCATCCACACCACTTCTTCTTATCTGCTGATTTTCTTGATTGATTTTAGGGATTTCCCTTTTGCTTTTCCCCTCTTCTCCTACTTCAGTAATCATCGCGCTCAACGCCTACTCTTTTGATTCATTGAGGGTTTCTCTCTTTTTATTCATTCTTTTGGAAAAAGTTTGAATTTTTGTTCCTGTTCCTGGGTTGGGTTGGGATTTTGGTTTTTTGGTGGTTTTTTTAGTTGTGGGTTGTGATATGGGTTTGGTTACTGTTTTCCTGGAGATTTTGAGGCAACCCACGATTGGGGGTGTGGTGAGCGAGTTGATGATGTTTATTGCGCCTTTATGGGTCGCTGTGATTGTTGGGGTTTTGGTTGGGTGGGCATGGAAGCCAAAGTGGGCAAATTTGGGCAGGGAAATGCTGGAGGATTGTTCTGCTTCAAAGGACACTGCTGCTGCGTCTCCCAACACATCTTCGACGGGTTTTGGTTCTATTTCAGGATTGAATTCAATTAAGTTTCAGATACCCAGTTGCATCTCTTGGATTGCCGATGATGGAGCTCAAAAGGACTCTTCAACTGTGCCACCTACCCTCGATTCCAATTGCAGGTTTGTTTCCTTGTTGCCTGGTTTCTCGTGATTTATTTATTTCTTGATCTTATAGGTAAAATAGGCACAGATTGATCTGTAATTACATACATATGAGACGGGGGAAATGGAGTTGGAATTTGGATGGTGATTGGTAGTGGGATTTTGTCATTCTGTGTGTTGGTGCTAGTATCTGTAAATTCTAACGAATGGTAAAGTAGAGTTGGTGGAAATGGAACTAAAAGTAGAATAGGAAGTCTGGATATATTGGGTTTTGCTAACAGCTTGAATTTTCTCATTTGGATTTTGGACAGTTCTTCTACCCAACTGGTGGAAGTAAAAACAGGTCTTGTTACTGGGGAAGATTTAGAGCATTTGTGTAGACTTGTTGAGGTTAAAGACGGAGGACCTGCTTGGATTCAGATGATGGATCGTTCTACTCCAACTATGAGCTATCAAGCTTGGCGGAGAGATCCTGAGGTGCTTTTCTCCTCTTCTGTATTTTATTGTATGTAACAAGCAATGACAAAAGCTTATGTGAAAATGAACGGTGCTGCCAATTTTGCTAACCTATTGGTTTATACATAAAAGTCTGTTTTATATGTTTGTGCTGCTTTTTTGTAATTTATATTACTTTGATTGACTTATTCTGTGGTTGTTGTATTAGACTGGACCTCCACAATATCGCAGCAGGACTGTTTTTGAGGATGCCACTCCTGAGTTGGTCAGAGATTTCTTTTGGGATGATGAATTTCGAATGAAGTGGGATGACATGCTTATCCATTCTTCAACCTTGGAGGACTGCCCCACCACAGGAACCATGGTGGTTCAGTGGATTCGCAAGGTGGGCATAGAACTTTGTCAATTCTTACTGTCCTTACTGATTTTCATTATTATAACTGATTATTTTCTAAATATGTTTTCTGATTTTTCTTTTTGCAGTTTCCCTTCTTCTGTAGTGACAGAGAATACATTATAGGCCGCCGAATCTGGGAGTCAGGAAGGTTGTATTATTGTGTTACTAAGGTACAGTTTTTATCCTTAATCATCATCAATGTGTTTACTCAAAACAATATGTTGTTGGTGCATATCAGTCAGTATCTGTACGATATTCAGCTACAAAATAGTAGTATGTTAGTTCTGTAACTCTTTTGGGGATAAAGACAACACTAGATTTTCCTAAACATTAAGAGGCTTGGTTAATGAAAATTGAATCAGTTTATCTCTATATTGATTAAAATCGAACATGTTAAACAACATTAGTTAATGCACCGGACCAGGTGTGTGTTTTAATTAATATCAGAGTTAGTTAACTACATATGGAGCTGGAGCATAAAGGTTATGTGGCTCTGTGATGCCTGGAGTGGAAGTAGAAGTCACCATTTGATAAAATTTGTTTCTTTGGAAGTGTAGTTCAAATTGTTAACCACAATCAGTTGAAAATGTGATTATACATTTTGCCATTGCTGGTACTAGTCTTGAACTTTTGGCACCAGTTTCATAGGGGATAAAATTTGCGGCTTTCATTATGATCATGTTGGCCTTCATGGTACCGTATTGCTTCTTAATTTGTGGAAATAATTTGATTTATGCTTCTTCTTTTTTTCCCTACTTTTCAGGGAGTTCCATCCTCTGTGCCAAGACGTAACAAACCCAGGCGTGTTGATCTGTATTATTCAAGTTGGTGCATACGTGCAGGTAACTAATTTCTTATCATGCACTTGAGTTATTCTTTTTCCGTGTTTTTCCTGTGTTGTGAAGGAGGAAACCTTATTTATGCTGGTCATATGCCACAAATAAGCAAAAAATCATTTTTGGTTTTACACCAGGGCTAAAGTAGGGAGGATGACACAATTCTTTTTGAAAACAGATTTCCTAGAAACATATGGGTTCATTATAACTGTAAAGTCTTCAAATGCACTGAAATCAAGCCATCTTATAATATCTTCCTTATTTGCTTAATATGAAACAGTTGAATCAAGGAGAGGGGATGGCCAGCTGACTGCATGTGAGGTTTTACTATTCCATCATGAAGATATGGGTATACCTTGGGAAATTGCAAAGCTTGGAGTCAGACAGGGCATGTGGGGAGCTGTCAAGAAGATTGATCCTGGCTTACGTGCATACCAGAAGGAGAGAGCATCTGGAGCATCCCTCTCACGATGTGCTTTCATGGCTCAGATAAACACTAAAGTAAGCGCAGACTACCTGAGATCACTGGAAAGCAGCAATAATGACGCATCAGAGTTGGAGACACATGATTCATCCAAGAAACAGTCAGGAGGGAACAACATCCCCAGGCTTTTAGTTGTAGGTGGGGCTATCGTCCTTGCTTGTACCCTGGACCGGGGGCTGCTGACCAAGGCAGTAATATTTGGAGTAGCCAGAAGGTTTGCAAACATTGGAAGGAGGTTGTGATTCAAAACTCTTGGCGCATCCTTCCAAAGATGCAAACCAAGTAAATTGCTGCTGGAGGGAAGGAAATCATTCCCATCAACCAATCTCGTTACTTGCCTGCACTTTTCAAAGGATACAAGCTTGCTATTCTTTTCTTGTTATGCTTCAGCCATGAAGCAGCTTCAGATCGGGGAGAAGAGGGAGAGATCATGTATGTATTTGTCTTCCTTATTTTCAAAGAAAGCTGTCATAGAAGGATCTCAAGCTGCAAGAATAACAAGAATATAGATTCCCTTTTTTTGGTTTTTTTGTTTTGGTTTTTTTTTTTTTTAGGTTCAAGGCTGCAATTTTATTTTCCATGCATAATTGATTGTTATGGCTGAGTTTGACTTATGGAATAGGTATTCCATATGGTTAAAGCATATCTACTAGGTAAATTGTAAATTAGTGAGAAAATAGAAGGGATAAAGAATACATATTCTTTATATCAATTTTTCCTAATAAAGTGAAATAAGATGGAATACCTAACACCACATTTTGGTAGGGGTTAGCCATTAGCTATTCCTTATCAACAATCACTTTTTTAATATAAATTATTGCGTGAGGAATAGGCATTCTCAATTTCATATATTTGTCAACTAATTTATCTTATAATTATGCTCTGGCCATGGAAAGCCTATTACATCCAGCCAAACTAGCCCTATCATCATTGTCATTATAGCTTGTTCATATATAAAACAAAATTTTGAAATGATATATAGGGAATATAACAGAGCGAATTTTGCTTTTCTACGCCTTATGGCTTTGGTGTTTAAAAGCAGTCTGTATATGATCAGATTGTATTTTACTCAACTTCCGTCTTGCATTGCAACTGGACAGTGTTTAATCTTTACATAATTTAAAAATCAACTCCACTTAAATTTTTTTAAAAAATACCCAACTACAACACTCTTTAAGGCCCAATCTTCCCTATTCTATGTTCGTCCCATCAAATCTTAAAACCAAAATTCCAATAAATTTAGCTTAAAACCCAAATTCTAATGGATTTAGACCATGGATTTTAATTCAATCTAAATACTTTAATAATAATCAAGACCCCAAATAACTGTAAAAATAAAGAGTTAACCGTTATGTTCTCCTAAGTTACACAATTTGAATTCTTCAATAAAACTGCAAAAACTTCTCTTCAAATTTCAAAACTTCTTTTCTACTTCTTAGTAAAACTCAAAATCACCTCTATCATCAATTCAGTAATTACAATCAACGATCCATATAAGTGACTTATTGTGAGTGTTATTACTCTTTGAATCTAGATGTATCATCTATAATTCAGTAGTAATTTACTAAGAATAAAATAAGCTATTATATATATATATATATTTAAACGTAATCAATTATATAAAATAAATTATTTATACACAATAAAATTGTTTAAACTATAAAATGTTAACAAATATTAAATTATGTAATTGTTATATTATCTTTTTTTGAACATGTAATTGCTATATTATCTATTATTATTTTGAGTAATAATAAAAATCCAATAACATGAATTGGGTTTGTTATATGTTTGGGTATATTTGTCTATTGGGTCCAGCGGCCTAAGATTGGGAAACTTTTTGGTCTTGCATTCATATCTCTCTGGAAAATCCCTAATCAATATCTTACCATGCAAGAACCGTCTAGAGGGGAATTTACTGCCTGAATCCAATCCATATTCATGATTTCAAATTCAGATGGGGGCTTTTGCATAACTACTACCAAAATCCACCAATTTCCCAAAACTAAGCCCAGATTTGCTATGTACCCCTCAAACTTTAACTAACGCATATAACCTTCTAAACTCCACAATCTCAACTATTTAGCCCTTAATTCTTTAACCACTATAAGAATAAGGGCTAAATTGCAGTAAGAATAAGAGTTAAATTACTAGATCATGGAGTTTAAGGGTTTATATGCATCAATTAAGGTTTGGGGACTCAATAGCAAATTTGGGGTTAGTTTAGGAGATTAACAAATGGTTTTACCATTCAAATAAAAAAATAATAATAATCTCGTTTTGTTGTTCCCCTGTTCATATCTTAGCCTCTACGTTTCTTCATTTGTTTTTCTCTATGGAATTTCAAGAAAGAAAACAAGAAACAAGAAAAAAGAAAAAATTCTATGGAACGTATAGATCCACAGGAAGAAGAGCCGAATTCAATATTGAATTGAATGAATTTCAGTTAATTTTCTAAATCAGATGCTTACAAAGATATGAATAAATAAACTTTTGTTTTCTTGTTCTTATACAGTATGATATCTATTTCTCCAACTCTTAACTCCTTTTCGCTTCAATCCAAGAGCAACGGAAGAGGCGTGGATCCAAACGGTACGGATCAATGCGAGACGAGAGTCTCAAAGAAGTTAAGTCCGTCGAATTCCACCGCATACCTCGGTGCAGCTTGTTGCCGCTTCTTCTCAGCCTTCGCCTCTTGCTTCCGGGCACCGTTCTCCGTCTCCACCGCCTTCCGATTGCTGATCAGGTTGCTTCCACCAGAACTTGCGGAAGAAGCAAAGGAGGCCCTGACCTTCTGCCCCAAGAACTCGGCGCAAAACGCATCAAAGCTACTGAACATGGAATTCATGTTTACTCAGAAAAAGAGTTTTTTTTTTTTTTTTCTCTCTGGAAGATTTGTTGATTGTGTGAGAAAATAATGCTCGGGAAAGGGGAATTTATAGTACGGGCGGAATAACCCGAATAGGTGTAACTCGTGTGGGAGCAAGGAAGGAAATTCAGCCTTGGCTTCCAAGTTGTTTCATTAATTATTTCTTTAAATTAATAAATTCTTTTGCTCGTGAAATTTTGCGTAACGAGCGAAAAAGCGTGGATGCTCGCATCAAGAATAAAGCGTGTAAGACCCAGACCGGTTCCATGTGGGTCCCGGTTGCACAATGTGCCAAACCATTTTGTGGAATTTGGGAACCGACATAAACCGAACTTTTGTTTGGCCTCAATATAAGCCACAATGTCTGATTGGTTCTGGTTCCTGCTTCTTCTTTTTTTTTAATCATTTTGGGTTTTACAAAAAAGTGAATCCTCTTTAATTTCTTTATTTGCTTTGTTTGTATGTCTATTATTTATATTTAAAATTTTTTATTCTACTTAAAAGAAAAATAATTAATAAATTACTTAAAATGTTAATTAATGTTTACTTTATTTTATTGACTCTTTTTATTTTTATTTTTTATCAAAAAACTATGATTGTTTAAATTATATCAAATTATAAAATAATGATATTTGGATTGGGATTGACCTTCTCTTCATATATAAGGATCTTGATTTTACAATTAAGTATGATTTTAATTACAAAATAGAGAACATTTTTTTTATTTGTCCTCAAAATAAGGTAATTAGTAAAAAGATAGTAGAATAATGTGATTGGCAACTTGTAAAATCCAAAATATAAATCATTAAACTTTAGATTTAGAGCATGAATAATCAAATCACACATGCTAATGATGTAAATTTGTTATTTAATATTTTAAATTTAATGAAGTTTACGCCATACACTCACTTTATCATTAAATTTAATAAATAATTTCGTAATTAAACATGTCTAGCCATTAAACCATGCAAGTTGCTTTTGCTTCTTAACATTATATAAATATGGCAATTATTGTTTTGATTGTCAAAATTCAACTCATCAACTTGAAATTCAGATCCAACTCTATGACCTTGCTAGGCTAAGCCCTAAATGAAATCTACAAAAACGAAGCCTGCCGATTAGCTATTAACTTGTTATGATGAAGTACCGGGGGCAACAATTTCAAAGTTTTCTTGAACCATCATTATTTATACCACAGGAAGCAATCGACCAAAAAAACCGAATGAACCATAACCATTCACACCCCTCCTCGGTCCTCACATATTGACGTAGGCAAGGCTAACTTAAGTCTTTCAAGTGGTGCTGTTGACGAGGTCACAGCCGATCCGTGAGTCAGGGTCAATGTTTACTTCTGGGAAGAGAGATGCCTGACTTGGTCTGCATTCGGAGTTTGACTTGACAATTCGACGACGGCATCCTATTTGATTGATTATGGTTACTATTTTTATGGGGGGGTCCTACCACGATGAATGGATGGTTCTGGATGAAGAAGATAAGGGCAAAGTTAAATTATCTTTGATTGGTGGATCGCTGTTTCCCTAGCTAGGTGGAACCGTTTCCCTGATGGTGATTCCTCCTGATGGTGCCGCTATTTGTCTGGGTGCATTGCATGGGTATCATATTTTAAGTGGAGGTTAATTGAATCTGGGAATTGGAATTTTAGTTCACATGAAAAATCTGTTTGTTGTTGTTTTCCTATCTCCGATGGACTGCTCCAATAATTTGTTTGATTTGTAGCAGAAACAGGAATGGGAATTTTATTTATTTATTTATTTTTTTAGTTTGATTGAAAATGAGAGAAAAGCATAAGAATTTTTTTTATTATTTTAAGCCACACTACATAATATATATAGTTTAAATTATAAAAGTATTAAAAACACTCTTAAGTCAATGAATAAGATTATTTAAATTAATAATAATTTATTATAAGATATTAGTACGTATCAATTTTGATTATTAAAAAAATTAAAATTCTAACTTATATTTAGAAATTGAAAATTCAATTCAAAAATTAAAAATTCAATCAATTTTTAAATTTAAATATCAATATCTAATAAAAATAAATTTTTAAATTTTAAATTGAGTTTTAATTAAATAAAATGATGTAATTTAAAGTTAAGATGTTGATATAGGGACTTTTTTTATATTAAATGAGTAGATATATTAAATATCAAGAATTTCAAATGAATAAAACAAATTGATAATTTTAATTACACACAAGGTTATATAAAAAATAATATTAAAAAATTATTTTTAAATATTTTTTAAAAGTTAAAACTTTAATTTTTTTTAAGAATAGAACTAATATGCATTTTTTCTTTATTAAAAATAAAATTATTAATTATTAATTTTAAACTATTAATCAAATAATTTCAAAAAAGTATTGAAACCAAAGAGTAAAATTAAAATCAAACTTCGAAGTCCAAACCGACGTTTCTAGTTAGGCTTCAACTTTCAAGATGGGTCCATGTTGGGCTTTCTAAAAAAAGATGGGTCCACTCCACAGATGGGCTTTCTCATTTATGTTGGGCTTTTTTGTAATCCAAAATTTTAGACAATAAAACATCCGATTAATTTAATTTGAAATAAAATAAAATAAAATAAAATGTTTGTCACAATTAAAATGTTTAGAATAATAATGAAAAAATTAAAATATTCTTAATAAATTTACACACAGAAAAGATTTATTAAAGATATTTGACAATTTTATTAAAAATTCTATTATTTAAAGTATCATATGTCTTAATTTTCATTTTTCACATTTAATTGTATTACTAAATATTTCAGCAATTAATTTCTTCTCTTCCATCATAGTGTTAAGTATATTCTAACACACACGAATTAAAAAGATAAAACGAGTTGAACAAAATAATCAAGATATCTCTATTCTCTAATACCAAGTCAGCATGCTGAAATTGGTAAGAAAACTAGTCAGCATGATAACACCCACTAATCTTCGTTGAATATACGTAAATCCCAGTCAAAGTAAATCTAAAAATTAAGACTTGATACACATCCAAGATGGGAAAATCTAAGAATATCTAATTGGGGAGAATAAACGTCTCAAAGCAATGCAGTCCATCAAACATGGGTGCAAGAACCGGCGCACGCTCATTCTTGTTCCTACAGGAAATTAGAACCTTTGCTGCCGCAGCAGAATTACTAGCAGCAACTGGAGCTGTTGGTTTGTTGGTTGCTGCATTATCGTTTGCCTTCTTGATGGGTGGTAGGGGCAAAGCCAGACCAAATTCATCGCCGAAGTAGTCAGCGACTATCGCTGTAGTTGATGACGACGAGCTAAAGATCGACATTGTAATGATTTGGGGGCTTGTAATTAGAGGTTTCAAAGAAATTGGTAAGAAAACTAGGGAAGGTTGGGCAGATGTTTGTGTTGTGGTGAAGGGTGGTATGGGACCATCATATATATGGGTCTAATAACATTGAAAAGATCATCCCAATTCTATGCGGAGAAGGACAACGGCTTTTCTGAAATCTTAAGGATTAAATTAATTATTAATTCAAAGAAAGGAAACAGTGCTCCAAAATTTAAATTCTTAGTTTTGTCTTTAATTAACTTCTTCCACGCGGAAAGAAGTTAGGGATATTTTACTATTAGCTAATGCACTGTCCACCTGACAATTTTTGTTTTCAGTTTTCAATAATATGGCAAAGGAAGTTAGTGCTGATTACTATGACTTAGAATAAAGATTTTGAAATTAAAGGGTACTTATTATTATTATTTATATCCTTATTAGATTAATTGGAGAAATTTTAAATAAAGAAGAAGTGTTATCTCGTTTGGACTATATTAGATTACATAATTATAATTATTAAATAGAGT